ATGATGGCATATATAACATTGGTGGACGTGCAGGTGAATGAGCCGGTGATGTTGTAGTGTCTCAATTAGTTTATCATCTACTCACATTAAACTGATTTAATATTGGAGTTGACGCACATTTATAGAAAAGTCAGACACTAATCACGTGTACACGAGCATAAAATCGCTGGCTCACAAACATTTTGTAACTGCCATAAACCTCAGCTTTCCTCCAGTTTGGGAAGTTATTTCTAAATATCTGGAAAGAAACGCGCTCTAGGGGGAAAGAGACCGCCTTTTATACCCTATGTTTGTCTGGCATTTAGCGCAATGCTGCCCAATTCACTCACTGGAGTTCTGACTTGCGGCTGTAATACAAATAATAGTCATTTGTTTTACCTTATTTACATTTTTCATTCCCGTAACAAGGAATGTAATAGCCAGCATATAAATGTGTTCTAGAATTATAAATATTCAAGGAATACAGGCCATAAAATGATAGACAATGACAACTGAGAAAGCAGCAGAGAAATTCCTCTCTGACCATAAAGCACTTACTAATTATTACAGCAATGCTAAGCAGCTCCCCATTGTTCTTAGCGAACCTAACGTTACGATAATGGTCCCATTGCTGTGTTTTAAAGACGTGTCCTAGAAAGCTGAAATGGAACCACAAACATTAGCTGATGGGACGCAGTCTCCTGCCATGACGAGTTTTTCTCGGGGAACTGAACTCCTTACCTCTGTCAGCCCTGTGTTTCTCCTCTTAATAACAGTCTGCAAACAATTGCTCAGCATTCGAGTCAGCAGCAAGTTGGTTGATTTTCGAATCATGTCGTCAACCTCCGTGGAGCTGAAAAACAAAAAGTTCAAAAATTAATTTGCACAATGCTTTGAAGCAGGGGGAAAATCCAAGGCCCCCAGCGCCACAGCATCTGAGCACCTCACAATCTTTACCCTCACAACACCCCCTGTGAGGTAGAGAAGTGCAGTTATCACCACTGTACAGGTGAGGCAGACACAGATTAAGAGACTTGTCTAATGTCACATCGGGAGTCTGTGGAAGAGCAGGGAATTTAATTCAAGTCTCCTGAATCCCAGGCTAGCACCCTCTTGCCTGGACCGGCCACCCTCGCACTTCAGCACCTAATTGGCAAGAGTGCTGATTACCCCCAGTGGGTATTTAGCACTCCTTGGAACCCATGCCCATCCCTTCAATAGTGCCGTGTGTGTGTGTATATATATTTATACTATAGGTATTATGTTTTGTGAAGCTTCTTAATATCGGGATAAGTATTAATATAAATAAAAACATATTTTTTTCCCCCAATGCTTTCTACTGTCCTTGTTTTTCATGCAATCATGTCATACAAGTAACAACATGCCAGCACTGTGCATTTCCACAGGTGGTTAGGAGAATCTCCCTAGAACTGGTTCTCCTCCTGTTGGGATCAATGCTTCCTTTCCACGGCCAAGTAAAGCAAGGTAGAGTAAACCTCCTGAGAAAGCTGCAGGTGAAAGGGAGACCGTGGCGACGCAGAAATGCTTCCCCCTTCCCAAGACTGCGATCTGAGGAGAAGCGGTGGAGAGTTAACATTGCTGGAGGCAATATTACCTATCCTTTGTGTACTCTGCAGAGCCAGGGAGCACAGCAGGTGACAGCAATTGACAGAACAGCGGCTGATTGTGCCATGGTGGGAAAAGGAGGAGTCCAGGACAGTGGGGAGCTAGAGTCCCTCCACCCAGCTACCCCCCCTCAACAGAGCTGGTTGCTGGGATTCCCAACAATCCCCACCCTCCACTGTCTGCTTGAGCCCTGTCAGTCCCATAGACAGAGGGGCAATGAGGGAACATGTGCTGCCTCTATTGCTCCAACAGCGCTGCAGAAATCTTTCCATTTCTTTAACCCGCTCATTAAAGAGACAGCCAGCCTCCATGCTGCAGTAGCCTTTCAATATCTGCTCTTTTATTTGCAGTGCACACAGTTCTTCATTATTCCCAATATCCGCATTTTACCTAAACTTGCACCAAAGCCATCGATGCCAGGTCTGTGCTGGACAGAAGTACATTTGTTTCTAAAACAACGGACTTTGTATGGGTCAAGAAACAGAGTGATAGGTCAAGAAACAGAGTGATAGGTCAAGAAACAGAGTGATAGGGCCCGATTTTCAAAGCTGGCCATGAACAAACCGCATACACAGAATTAAGTATCAGGGGTAGCCGGGTTAGTCTGTATCTACAGAATTGGGTGTGCCTAAACTTACAGGTACTAATATCTGATATGCTTGTGCAAGTCAGGTCTTTTCACACACACAGACCTGATTTGCAAGCATAACAGGGTATATATGTAACACACTGGAAAAGTGCATGGTGCACCCACCTGCAGTGGCTGGCCTGCTAGAAGAGAACAGCCTATTACTGCTAACTGGCTGTTCTCTACCCTTTAGTTCAAGTGATAGAGATCTTTGGTGCTGTAGGTCCCCTGTTCAAACCTTGCTGATTATCTATGATGGGATTGGAGGGGTCATTATACAAACACACAATGCTTACCTTGAAAAATCTGGCCCATATATTTTTCCTGAACCAGACCCACTTATAATTAATACAACCCCATTATAACTCATAACATTGATGAAGCCCATTCACTTTAATGGTGTCAGAATGCTTTGGGCTTTATTTTTAAGTGGGTGTTTTCAGTATACTAGAGGGATATGAAGGCTATTAAAGAATATCCCCACTTTGCAGGTCACTTGAGCTGCTGCTGGGAAGCCCCCTCCCGCCCCCCCAAGAAGTCCTGTTCTCCCTCCCCCCACACTCCAGTTAGGTGTAATCTTTTCTTTTTGAAGTAGGTTTTGGAAAGTGACTGAAATGTTGGCTCCTTTGATCTATCATCAGCATCACATTAGGCCTGAAACAACATGGCCTTTATCTCCGAGAGCAGGATGACAGGCAGCTGCTGGTGAAGAAAATCTCAAACTGGAAGGTTCAGAAACATTAATAACTTTAGGGCTCCTGGTAAACCAACCCTGTGACCTTTGGCTCCTTACCCTGTTTAACCTGACAAATGGAGAGATTACAAAGCAGAAAATGACATGGTAAACAAAAGAAAGCCTTCAAGTTAGCTCCGTCCACTTGTGCGCTAGGTAGCCTTGCTCTGTACTCTGCTATCCAGCATGTCAGCTCACTGAAGCCTGTGCTGGCAGCAGAAGCTAATGGGCCCAGCAGGCCTCTTCCCATCCCAGAACTCTCAATCCAAGTGATGTAATTTTTGTGCACAGCTGCTCTTATTTCAGTGAGATAAAGGAGACTCTGTTCTTACTGATCTTCCCCAAGGAGGAAAGAAAGCTAGCATAAGTACCTCTGCTCACAGTAGCCACTCTCCAATACCTGTACCCAACAACAGACTGCCTTGTCATTGCAGGTTGATCTCCTCTGCACCGGTAACCGTTGCGTCTCTTCTGGTTAATGCCGATTAGCATCTGCTCTTTTGGGCACTGATCCTGCCAGGTGCTTAGCACCTTTATCTGCTACTGACTTCTACGGGAGCACAGAACAGTCAGTACCTTATAGGATTTGACTCTTGATGACAGTTCCATTTTAAACTAAACACTCCTAACTGAAGCCTCACCACGTGTCCCTGCCTGGTGCACTCCCTCTGATTCCTCAACTCCTTCTAGCCTTATTTGATTTTTATTATGTTGTACTTTGGATTAGTTAGAGACGGGACAGAACCAAAACCCTAAGGACATTTGGATCCGGACACCAACTTCTTGCTTCAGGTCCATCTCTATCTCTGGTTCTTTGTAGTGTGGTTGGATCCACTGTCATGGACATACATTTTATTTATAAAGTGCTCCCCATCTCCTCCCATCCAAAGCTACTTGTGGTTCTGTACACCACACAATATAAAGATTAAATATAGCTATCGTAATATGAGCCATCCCAGGGAAAATGGTAAAAGCAAAGGGGTTAAATAAAGCCACTACACTTCACAATATAAAGCTAACTGTTGGTACAGAGGATCACCAGCTTTCTTTATCATGATGTCCCATGTTAATAAGAACGGCCACACTGGGTCAGACCAAAGGTCCATCTAGCCCAGTATCCTGTCTTCTGACAGTGGCCAGTGCCAGGTGCCCCAGGGGGAATGAACAAAACAGGTAATCATCAAGTGATCCATCCCCTGTCGCCCATTCCCAGCTTCTGGCAAACAGAGGCTAGGGACATCATCCCTGCCCATCTTGTCACCACAGCACAGCTGATCATCAGTGTCAGAGCAGACCGGGAGGGACCCCTATGCGTGGAGAAGGGCTTGCAGAGATTGGGGGGAGAGAGGTGAAAAGCCACACTGATAAGAGTAGCGTGTACAGCCTGAAGGGCTGAGGGAGACACAAAAGCCATCTCATTTGGATTGCTGAAGTTAGCCAGTATAGTAAGAGGAGGCCCTGAGATATAAACCTTGGTATCAGAGGCCTGGTATGAGGCCCAAGGCCTGAACTAAAGTAATGGTCAAGGCTTTGCTAACATAAAGCAAAGTTAAGCTGTGAGCCAGAGGCAGGCCCTGATCACAGAAGCTGGTAAGGAAAGGGCTGATGCTGCAAAAAGAGACATACCTAAAAGGTACTGGACACCAGATATCAGAACATACACTATACCGGAACATTCCACAGATAACATGGAACAGGCCGACCCATCCCAACGACAGGGGCAAAAGGGTAAAATGATGGATAGAGTTGTTTGGATCGAATCAACATGTACAAGGTGAGAGGCGGCACCTTACTACGTAGAGAGGTTGTACCTTGCTGCGTAGAGGGGTTGCACCTCAATACGTCAGGAGTGATGTGTAACTTGTTTGTACCTGTGTATAAAAATTTATCCCTGGGGTGGTGTCTTTGTCCGGCTGAGGGGGCAGTGGAAAGTCCCGCCACTGACTGAGCCGGGTCCATTGCCAAGAGGCATCTATTAGTAGTATGCCCGGTAGACTAAGTAATCTACGGGGACCTGCAATTGTGTCCGAGGTCACAATAAACCTACTCGACGTGACTTTGCATCTTACTAGACTCTGTGGTCATTGGGGGTTCTCTTCGGGTCTGCTGTGTCAGCTATTTGCGCAAAGCTGGGGCAGCACACAGAGGGAACACACGCACGCAGCCGAGTGATATCAACATAGGAGAAAGCAGAGCACCACACCGGCAGCATCTGACAACAGCCAGCTTCTTGTTGGTTCCAACGTTCATTTCTCCTATTTTTTAATCACTGAATGGAAGTTGAGGGTAGTGGTGGGTGGCAAGCTGGTAGAAATGAAATTTTAGAGAGGGCTTCTTGTCCGTGAGCTCCCATTAGAGTCACATGGCTGAATCCCTGCAAAGAAGGGGCCACGTTATGACACAACATGAGCTGCTCAACTTGCATGCAAGCAGGAGAGCGAACTTCCCACACCTCTGTTCTTGTTGCATTGCACAGCAGATGTCTTCTGGAAACCTGCCTGGAGACCATTCTGTAGGCTTGTGATCAGTGGAGACTGTATTGATATGAGACTCTTTTGCCAGAGTAAATACTGTAACGAATTTGGATGACAGAGTGGGTTTTCTGTTTACTTTGAACACTGCCCGTTTTGCTGTTTTAGGAGTTTTAGCTAGAGAAAGGGAGGTTGGGAAAAAGCCCTTTTTGAAATTAATTATACTCACTTTTATTATTTAAACAACTTAGCCAACACGTAAGTGGTACACTATACGAAAGTTCATTATTTAGTTAAAACATGGCCCTGCCATCAGGGTTTAGGGATCCAGCAATTTGATCATCGCCTTTACGCGTATATGTCCCAAAAGGATTTTGATAAATGGGAGAAGATTC